TAAATTATAAAGGTCTGCATGATTTAAAAAAAAATTATTATTAGCAAATTATTGGGTGGCTGCAGCTGCCCCCGCCCCCCTCCAGCAAATTACTGGGGGGGGGCTGCAGCCTCCCCCCTCCATTTGCTACGGCCCTGTAAATATGATGCTTGATTAACTGAGGGAGGAGTTGAATATTCGGAATCTCTAGATCGTCGGAAATGGCACTTTCAGAGTCTTCATTAATTTATTATGATTCTTGAGATGCTATGAAATTTTATACTCGGAAAATGTATTTCTTCTCCTCCTCCTGAGATCTTATGATCTGGAACACAAATAGGGAATAAAAATTACGAGTCCTATAGATCAAATTACGAGAGCTATAACATACTGATTCCCCAAGCTGTTTTAAAAAAAAGTAGGATTTTATGAGAAAAAGTAGGAAAAAGTAGGAAAATCAAGCAATTTTTAATAAAAAATAGGAAAAGTAGGAAAGTTGAAGAAAAGTAGGAAAAAGTAGGAAAAGTAGGATGGCAAGAAAGCCTGTGCTTTCAAAAATTGTTCTCACCTAGCAAAATCGTTCTCACGCAAGCAGAAAACACTCGCACGTAAATAGAAAACGTTCTTAGCTAATGAAAAGGTCGAGCTTTATCTAAATATACCTTAACAGTTTCGTAGTTGAGTAGGGAGTCAATTGCCAATGATCCTGCTTCATTATCTGCCTTGTTCATTTCGACACGAAATTTTGTCCGCCATTGAGTAATACCAAATGTGAAGAGTGTATAACCAGCAATACATGTTAATGTTATCATGGCAAACTCTTTACCACATTTATATGCCTGTAGGATTGAAACAAGAAGTGGTTAAATAAGCAATTAAATGACACTTTCCACAAAGCTAGGGAGTGTTACTGACAAAATACACAAGTTTCAAAAACGTTAAATATATTACAACACTCCCGGTGTCTTAACTTACCAAAATTCCTGTGACCAATGAAACTTCTAATAATGTTGGAAATATATTGAAAATCAATGCAGTCAGCATAAAGTTGATACCTCTAATTTGGAAAAAGTTGACAAAAAAAGCTTGTGAAGTGAAATTTTTATAAAGATATTTACAAATGCAGACACATGAAGCCTGGTGTGTTTGTCAGAACTAGCAGAAGCAAGCCATGTTTGAAGATTTTAAATAATCTGCATCATTCTAAATTATTTTGTTGTGCTGTAAACAAATCAGTGTTTTCTCAATTTAGAGGTAATTAACAGTCTATTCCATTCACCAACTTGATATATTCACATTATGACTATAAATGGAATCCGAAACTTAATGGTGGCTTAAACAGAACACATTAAGTTGCACACAACGTAACATAAGATGTGTTAAAATAATTTTTTGTAATCGTACCTTGTTCCTCTGTCAATTGCTCTTGAGAGATAACCAGTTTGCCTCGAGAGATGAAAACTGAGATCAAGGTTATGTAAATGCAAGAATGTTCTCTTTGCAACAGTTCTGATTGAGCTTTGTGCTACTTTAGCAAACACAGCATTTCTCAATTCATTAAAAAGGGATGCACCAGCTCTTGCAGCACCGTCTAAATATATTTCAACCTATATTTACTATATGTATCATTTCTTCAACTCCCCAGAGGAATTCCCTGAGTAGCATATTTAGTAATTGCAATACCATGTAATACTGTAGTAGTTAGACAGAGTAAAATAATCTGTTGTTAGACAGAATAAAGTAATAAAGAAAGACTCATTAGAGTGCAATATACATGTAACTTAATGGATTAAGGCATATAAATGTGACTTAATGTTTAATAACAAGAGACTTAATAACAAGAGACATGGGCAGATAGTCTTCTTAATCCAACACTTTGGACTGTTGGGTGCATGGGGTAACAGCTCATTGAGCTCATCATTAATCAATATATCAAACTTACATCCAAGCAATAAAGCTGTTGTTAGCGTCATGGCACTACCGGCGACAGTGTCCATTAATGGAGCAGCATTATTCAGATGGTCAACTGCATATTTGAATAAAAATGGCACTTGGACATTCAAAACCTAAACATTTAAAAACAGCTTTATATGTTTTACATTGACCATCCCTGCAGAAAACTGAGCTTCAAAAGAATTTTACCTTAGATCCAACAAGTAATGAAATTGCAAGTACAACCCTAATCTTCAAATCATTTCGATCCTTTGGCCACACATGATGTAACATACTTTTAATTATGCTTAAACTGTTTGTGATTTGTGGCTTCTTCGTATTGTCAGTTGCTTGAGACGAAGGTAAATGACCTCCGGTTGCACTGCGGTAGAAGTACAGGTTGGGCTAGAAATATGATTAAATAACAACAGAAATTAGCCAGGTTTTGTCAGGGTGGGACCCCTGTAGGTTTTTTGTTGTGGGTGATATGTACCCCTTGCCCCTTGAAAAAGGGATGGGTCCCTGCAAATCTGGCAAGGGTGGAGATTGTCTAGGGACATACCATCAAGTGCATAAAGCATGTGCTAGATTTAATACACTCAGACTTCTATTGATAACTTTTTAAAGAACCAATCATTTGCATTGCATATAAATTGATAAACATTAAGAAAAAATTATACCAAATTTTGTATTCTAATGATGAAAATATATAATGGCAGATTGCATTTATTTTCCACACAGGGGGGTTAAGGACAATGGAAAATCCAGGGGAGGGGTGTAAAAAAGGCCTTGGAAAATCCAGGGGTAGGGGTGAAAAAGACTGCAGAAATCCAGGGGGTGGGGTGATTAAAGACTAAAATCCAGGGGATGGTCTGTGATTAAAGCCATTCCAGGGGTATCTAGCAATGAATTCCTAGGAAATTCCAGGGAGGGGTGTATATAAACGGAATTCCAGGGGGTCAGAATTTAACTGGTAAAAAATGTCCCTTACCCCC